AAAGGAAAAAAAAAACCACATGCTTCTGCCAGAAAGGAGCAAAATGTCCCAATTCTCTCTTTATAGGATGGCCAAGGAGATCAGAAAAAAAGTCAATCACTTTATTATTCATACATAATATTATTCCTCAGCCAAAGAATAATCATCATCCACCTTGGCACTGCAAAGTGCTATTATTATTTTGAAGAGTTTTTTCCTCCATAATTGATTAAGAAACTCCCTAAAAGGTCACAGCAAGGTTAGAGTAGCTACTGAAAACCTGGATGCTAGAAATATTTTATTATAAAGGTTGAAATCACTGAAATGACTTTCACATCTAGCTTTTTTGTAAGTCTTTTCAGAAGAGATGCATGTATTTGTGATCCTTTGCCAATATCGTGCATTCTGTTAGGAACAGCATGCTGGTTAAAAATGTGAAAAGAATCGTGAAGCAAGTTATAGTAAAGGAAAAGTATGCTGATAGCTATTTGTGTTTATATTATTAGTCAACATCTGTAAGGAAAGAACAGAGTCCAAATAATACATGTTTATTTCAGAAGCATCCTAAGTGATAATGAATAAAAGGTTATGGGAAAGTCATAAGAGTCAAGTAATTATTAATAACATCACCAGAGACGAGGCTATACTAAATGGACTTTCGTAGCAATATATTCTGCATCCAATTCTATTAAGTATTTTTATTGAAATCTGAGGTGAAGGCACAATCCTGTTATTAAACAAGAAATTCTAAATGAAGGCACAAACTTAATTATTAAACCTACAGATCTTAACATGGATAAGACAATATGGAAGTGGGTCACCGAGGAGACGTAGAATTCAGAATGACCAGCTGGATAAATTGTTTGGAATAGAAAAATAAAATTCAATAGAAATGGGCAAAGCTCTATGCTTTAGAAATAATAATATGCTTTAGAGTACTGAATGGGAACTGTTTTTTGTAGTACAGATCTGTGTGCCCTGGTAGATCACAAGCTGAGCTTGAGTCAATAGTATCTGCTTTTGCAAAAAAAAGGCAAACATGACACTTCCTTGGTCATTATCTAAAGCTTTATTTTTTAAATATGTTTTACAACTTCCCTCTTGCTTGTGCTCTAACTTAGGCTCAGCTGATGCTACTGTCTAGAGTGTGTGATCCTTAAAATCCTTAAACTGTAGTCATTTCTCTTTGTGAATACAAGTGAAATGAATCAGTGCTTTTCTACTATCAGCTTATGGACACTTGATAAGTGAAATGCAGTTCTTGACCCCTTCTTCAACTTCAAAGCCTAGCACACAATAGAGCCTTCTTCAGAGTTATAAAGAAAAAGAATCTAAATAGTGAAGGAGATTTTATTCCTACTTCTACACTAGACTTTAATTCTCATTAATCTTCTGTGACCTGGTTCTCTTGCTATTTTTTAAAAAACTCTAATGAGAATGGGAAATAAGCTAGTCTTTTTTTATCCATAATAAAATAACCTGTTTCAAAAATGTATCTGTAAAAAGCAACTTCTCTTCATCGCTGGCTCCAAAATTGAATGAACAATATATTATTCAGTTCTTCTCTCCAAGCCAAGCATTTTTTCTGTCACCTTCAATGTTTGGACTTTTTTAATGCAGAAAGAAAATGAGAGAATATTATACCAAAGACATCAAAGCCCAGAGCCCTAGTAAATTTAACAGGTTCCATTCTTGGAATTGTATTCTTTATTGAAAACACAGTAACAAATCTATTTAAGTCAATAGAGTTGGCCTATGGGAATTAAAAGTAAATTTAGCCTTTAAGCCTTGTTTCATGAAAGAAAAATAATGAAAAATGTTGGGAACAACTTACAGCGAGACATTTATAGATTTTTTTTTTCATTTCTATTTTAACCAAATAGTCCTTTAAGAATATAAAGTTGTCACTGGCAATGGAAAGGCTTCGTATGACTAAAGATTTTGGATAAGCAGGAAAGAAAAGTGAACGGCATCTTGTCCAAGAAAGATTCAAATAACTGGAGGAAACCTAGCCACTGGGCAATTTCATGTCAGATAAAGGGAAAATTTTATTGATTTTTTTTTTGTTTCCACTAAAAAATCCTGAGATTGATGTGATATCTATGCATTTCTACTTTTCTTTTCATCCAAGGTCTAATTACACTGTTATTTTCTCCCTCATAAGTTGAGCAACAAAGTCTGGGTTATATTTTTCATTATCTGAAGTCTTACTACATTTGGGAAATATTTATAGCAAAATCATTCTGGATGAACATTTTATTTAATGCTACATTATTGTATTAGCATGGTTGATTTGTTATACTAGTTTTATTTTCCTCTGTATCGCTGTAACTAGTTACAAAAGGTTACGATCTGTTCGCTGACAGAGGAAAGTGTTTATTTCTTCTATGCGACTGTGCTACCTGTGTCATTATGAATTGCTTCTGAGCAGCTGATGCTGATGCATCTGAAACCATTTTGCCAGTTCCTGAGGAGAATACTGGAGCTGGAAGCAAGAGCAGAACAATGTACCCAATGGCAACTTGTATATGAAGGGATCCATGCTGAGAAGCATAGATTTACTTTTGTCAGCTGTAAATAAGGCTAAGGAGATAGATGAAATCATTTGTAAAGATAAAATTTTTAAATTGCTATATTTAAGTTAAATTAAGGGCAGGAAAAAATAAGCATAGGAAACTGAAAGTCTAGATATTTAAAAAAAAGAAGAAAATGAAAGGTTATTTACTTGGTTTTTCAATAGGGAGATGTTCTCTGTTTGAGTTTTAAGATTGAGCACAAGTTAGTTGTTTTTTCTGAGGTAAAGTAAGAAGAAAAAGGTAGGAAGAGTAACTAGGATTAAGTCTTTAAACTCATGCAGTATGATTTGTTCCACTGATCTGGAACACTAGGAGCCTCAAACCTGAGTGACTAATTATTTAAAATGTAAACAGTTCTGGGTCATCTTCCCTGATTTGCAGACCTTTTTTTAAAATTGTTAACTAACGGAAGTTCTTTTACACTTGTGGAAAATAGATCCTGAAACAGTAGATCTCTGCACATTAAGTTATAATAATTTATATGGCAAAAAGCTATCTACCAATGTGTGCGTAACTGATTTTGTCTATGTTTATATGGTTGTTTTCTTCACACATTGGTTTCAAGTTTTTCTTTGAAACACCCACTGTCTGGCACATAAGATGTCCTCTGAAGAAAGTAGGTCTCTGTCAGTTTATTTTCCAGTTTTCTGCAATAAAATCTGCTGAAAAAATCCAGTTTTTAAGTGTTTTTTTTTTTTTGCAAACAGCAGTTTGTAGGAGTAGGCGTTCTATCATTGATTATCACTTGCATTTGACTAATAATGTGTGTTCTGTTAATATGGATAAAAAAGATAAAAAGCAAAATCTTAGTTAATGAGAATCTAACAGTTAGTAAGATTAACTTCATGGAGAAATTAATGTGGTATTAAATTATCATCAGTTGTGTGTTGCATACGATTATAAGGTCTTCAGTTATAATGTTTATATTTTAAAGTCTCAAAAATAAATTGACAATTTTTTAAAGTATTTTAAAGGTTTTTTTTTCCTAAAGATGATATTTTCATAAACTATAAATTGCTTTTCCTCTCTGTGGAATCTCCAAAGAAATCTAGTTCATCTGGTCCTGTCGTCATTGGCATATGTGAGGTGATACTTCTTGACCAAAAGTTGGTATCAGAAATTGTTCTCTAATTAGAGAACCTGTTCTCTTATTAGAGAAGTACTGCAAATACTCACAGTGTAGTTTTTGTACTGCAGTGCTTTTTCCCTCAATATATAGTAAGAATGAACTCTTTGAGTCCTTTAAAGCCTTTAGCTTTTGAGACAATGAACCATAGCCAAAGTGGTTCTCTTTACTGGAATTATTTTACTCAGCGTGTGTACTGGTAAAGAGCTTTGCCCATTGCTTTAAGACTAGAATTTAGTTTTTTTGTGACTAAATTATGGAGGAATCATCTGTGTATTGAAATTACTTTATGTTATGTATTTTTTTTACCCTACAAATTCTTGTTATACTAGCATAGTAAAATAACTCACAGAGTAATTCTTTGAATGTTTCTTATTACTTTGCTCTACATAATAAAGAAATCTTTCTAATTTTATCAACTTTAAATTTTCAAGTCTCCCCCAAAATAGAATTCCTGTGATAAGGCTTTTGAACTTTCCTTAGTGGCGGAAATCTTTCAGCAAGCTCTTTACGTCACATGAAATAGTTTCCATTGGTGGTCTGCACTGCTGAGAAATGAAATGTTATCTTTGGCTATAAATGAGCAGAAAAGAGATTAACTGTAGTAAGGGAGTCATTATGATGACAATTCTCAAGAAAGCAACAACTAAAGTAATTATAGTTGGTTGATCTGAAATCAAAACTACCACACATCCATGTGTGTTAATACTCAAAACAAAATGATAGTAGATCTTTTGGTGTATACTGTCTCCAAAACAAGGTTAGGGGGAGGGAGGTTATTATAGACTAGCATGAGTCTGCAGATGTAAAAATAGATTTTTGGATCTGGCATTATGATTCTGAAGGAGGAATCCCTTGGAGTTTTTCATTAGCCTGAAATAAATGATCCAGACCTTGGATGCCTTCTGTGCTGTAGACGGACTTTCAGAAGATGTGGGTTACAAAGCATACCTTTCCAGAGCACCACCCTCACCTTTCTGGCCTTGCTCCTGAATTTAAGGGTTTTTTTTCATTCTAATTAAAGAAGAAGATAACAAAATTCTTGCAGCAGCAGGAGTAGTTAGCACATAGGGCTATGTCCCTATTTGTGTACAATAAACCTGTGCTTATAAACTTAGATATCCAAATATACTCTTGCAAGGCTTTCCTGAACATTCCCAGTACTAATGCTTATTACACGCTGTAAATGATAATAAAAAAACTATGGTAATTCAGTAAGTTGTTTCTTCCTAACCGCATTGGTGCAGTTCAATGTATTGAGATTCCTCTATCAATTGTGGTCATGTATGATCTGTCATTTGTTTGCTTTGATTTTTTAGCTCCAGACCAGTCTGTCTGAACCAATGACGTTATCCAAGTCAATCTCACTTCCTCGTAGTGCATATTGGCATCATATCACCCGGCAGAACAGCGTTGGAGAAATCTACAGTTTACAAGGCAAGTTCCTTATAAATAAATGTCATGTCCATTGGCTTCCTTCCATTTGACCAGAATTCATGCAAATTGCTTTTTGTTTGCACTGGTTGTTTTCTTTCTATTTCAGTTTATCATTTGTCAGCAACCTCAGCAGGATTCCCAAATTTACATAAAACAGGTTTCTTTTAGTCATTTCAGAAACGAGTGGTGAAAATTATTCCCAGAATCGCCACATAAAACGGTATAGCCAATTTGGCACAATGTAGCTTCTCAGTAGCTAATGAATGCTAGGGTGTTTTAATATTTTTCTTCCAATAAGATTGTGTATGTATTTCAGAAGCTAACCTCAGGGTGCCCAATTAAATCTACATAAAGTGGCTGTGTGGCTTTCAAGATTGAAACAAAGTAATTCCAGGAATAAGAGCTACGCTTGGTGAATTTGCTCAGAGAGTCATATATACGAACTGCTTGGTCTGGCAAGCTTACAAATCTGCTGTATATATATATGTACATATATGTATATCATTTGTTTCAGTCTCCAATTCTCCTTTGTATATTTTGATTCTAAGCTGTTTGTTTAAGATGTTAAATGCTATGATTAACATGATGATGATGATAACAGTTTACTGCTTTTAAGCTGTAATTGATTGATATCTTTTAGGAAACTGAAGTTTGTATTACATTAAAAATGTAAACCTTAAGTAATAGTATTGTTTTCACTTTAAAAAATAACAAGCTATAGTCAACATATTCCTTTGTATTACTTGGCAGGGGCTTAAGGATTTCATTTCAATTCTCTTTTAATGAGCTGTTTGCATAATCAATTTACAGTTAGGAAAGGAGGTTAGAAATTGCTTAAAAACAAGAGTATCCAGTCCAAGAAAACATATTACATGCTTTCATAAAAATAAGTGAAATGCAGGATATAGATGAAAGATCTGAGATGTTTTGTATTGTAAATTATCACAGAAATTAAAATCAGCAGGTGAACTGTGAATTCAATGGATGATTCATTAAAAGGTGCAGCATTTGTTTCTCCTAATCCCCATACAACTAAGGCGCAAAGTAAATTTCTAAACAGGGTCATAGACTTACAGGCAAATAGCACTAACGGAAAAAAAAATACCTTCCAGAAGTTGTTTGTGAAAAATGCTGTACTGGTAGATCATCTTAGATAATATTCCTCATATCACTGTTATTTTTGTATGGATGCAAAAGGATTCAAAAAAAAAAAAGTTTCTATGTAGAGCTGTTAGAGTTCTTCTTGTTATGTTCTTGCTGGGCTTTTCCTTTGGCCAAAGGATAGTAAATATGCATTATAATGATTATGAAGTAAGAGAAATGTTTAGAATGTTGTTCATTCTTTGCCATATCTTTTGCGTCTCAGAAATGACCACTGAAATTCAGTAGAACCTTAAGGAAAGCAAAACTTTGTATATGGAATAATATCCCAACCTGGGTATCGATTGGCTTTGCAGGAGGCAACATGTCGGAAGTGTATTATTAAAAACGCAAGAATTCTACTTTTTGGAAGTATGCAGATTTTATTCACGTTTCTGCTGAAACAAGAGATGAATAGCTACTTCTGAACTTAAGTCAAGGTTTTCACTTCTCTTGCATGTTGAGAAAGCATAGCAGATTTCAGGAGAGACTAATTCAGTTGTATCAGAGAGCTACGAAATGTATCCAAGGGACAATTTTCTCTCCCTCTCATTGCACAAGTTTAACATGCAGTAATATTATTTATTATCCACAGTGAAGTTCTCTTTGAAATGTCTGCAACAATGCTTATGACTATTAAAGACAAGGTATTTGTGCAGAAGCTTAAGGGAGCATGAAGTACACCTTTACCTCTCGATACCTGTTCATACTGGTGGTCTTTGCACAGCAGAGAGACACCGATTGTCAAAACTTCAGCCCACAGATATGGGTGGAAAGTGGGTAGAGAGGGAGCAGAGCGTGAGCATCACTTCAACCCTCTCCTTAGTACGGCAGCCAGCTAAGATGGGTTTTTGCAGCAGGAAAAGTCACTTGCTGCTTCTGTGTTCTCCTATGAGTCTGAAAAGGTAAGCTGCCCCTTCAGAAAGGATACTTTTTCATTAGCGAATAATCCATCAAACTCAGTTCTGCACTTCCTGTGTATTTATGACAAAGTTTTTTACGTTCAAGAAATGAACATGAAAAAAATCCACATTTTCCTCTGAATGTCTTGTAACTCTAAAATGAAATTCCTTGTGTGATGCCTCCCGAAATTGCTGTCAAGGTCAGTAAAACAACATCCAAACTCACTGTTAAATACAGTCTAAAAGTGTTTCTGTAATTGCAATTATTTCAAACTTGCAGTCTGAAGTGACTGAAATTTAATTAATAACAGCTGGTGATGTATAAGGAGAAATGAATATGTGCTCATACTACCTTAGATAAATTGGCTCTTTGGGAGTTATTTAGCAGTAGAATTTAACTTAATTAGTAACGTGAGTTGATCTGATAATGAATATGCTGTAGAGAAGAAGACGGGTTTAAAAAAAACCTAAAACTATATTTCAGATGAGAAAAATCAATTCAATAAGTATGTATTGGGTTTATCATTCTCCATTTGCCCATGAAAACACACATAAAGACCTGAAAAGATTAAAATACTGAATAACAGTGTTAAAAGATCACACATTTCTCTATCTTAAAATTAGGTGGGCTGGATGGACTCTCTCTTTATAGATCTTTTCCTCCATTTGGTGTCTTCCTTGCGCTTTTCAGTCCTAGATTACACTACTAAGATAAAAATAATATTTTAAATGTCTAATTAACCTTGTCAATAGCAACAGCTCGGCGGTTGGCTTTTACCAGGGGCAACACATTACCATTGTGCAAACCTCACTGTTGCACAATAAAAAGAAAAGGGGAATCAGTGCCACACAGAAAAATAATACAATATTTACACAGCTATTAAGTTAAATACCAGTCTAAGCTTATGTAGTAGAGTGATTTCACGTAAAACCCGGCAGATACCAATGGCTTTACAAACCACAATGCCTGTTTCCAAAGTTTACATATAATCCAGATTGTATCTTTAAGTCCTTACAGATTTTTAAAGTAAAATAGTTTGAGTAATGAGGGAAAAAATGTTTTATTGTTGCTTACCATACGCTGATCTTTGTGCATACACAAGTAAAGCTTAAAATGCATTGTACATTTTTATGAATAATAGATTACTGTATAAAGAATTAAGAGTCCAGCAGAAGGTATGTTGCATTGATATATGATGCTCTCCTATACATAAAGATTTACAAGAATACAAACATCAAAAGCCAAGAGCAACTTTGTCAACTAAAATCACGGATAAGTAGCAGAAAAAATGGAAGCAAAAAAGCATGCATATAAGCATGAAGTAAAAAATTATCTACCCTCATAACTCATCATTTATTTCTATTAGTCTTTGGCATGTGGTTTAGCACTGTTTCACAAGGTCATGGTATTAAAAATTGAGAAACAAAGTGAATATCTTCTTATGCAACAAAATGTAATGGATAGCACTAATGAATGCTATTCAAAATGTTGCATTTTGGGGGTTTAAGTTTGCTTAGGATGAAAAAGGATTGCAGAATGAATTTTCAGCTAGCTGAAACTTAACACTGTAGTTCTTGGTCTAGAGAATTTAGATAATATAAATTTTAAACAGTTGGGCTATTTTTAAACAGATAAGGCCATATAAAATTTTGGCATAGAAACCCGCATTAGCTTTTTGTATTGCATTTATTGAAATCCCTGAGGAAATTATGTCCAGAAAAGCTAATTACGGTCTGGCCTTTCTCCAATAAATTCAAAATTAGGAATTGCTTTCAGTCACCCTGTTTTGGCTGAATCTGGTTTGTGTTCCCTATTTGGACTTTGCTTTTAGTATCCATACTCAAAGTGATGAACAGCTACCCACAGAAGTAATCCTTCATTTCTATGAGAGTACTCACATGAAGAAGTGTGTACTTGTATAAGGATTATACCAATCACACCTTATGTGTTTTCCCCTTAAAGAAAACAGCAATGCTTTTTTCCACAGTAAACTTAGAACCAAAGAAATTACTTAGCACATTTTGTAAATCCATGACAGAGTGATTAAATAAAACTGAAAAAATACTCTGAATGTGCCTGCTAAGAGCTAGATTCTCCAAGTTTTAAAGTCATGGAACAATTTCAAGAAATAAAACTATAGTCTTCATGGGACAGGATTTAAGCCCAAACCAGCACTTAAACTCATAAGTACATGTCAAAAACAAAAAGACACAGAAATAAAAGCTGGCCTCTATGAAGTCTGTACGAATTTTGTCTCTAACACAAATGTCTCTTGTATTTCACACTAAAGATGCAAGAAACACAAATCTGCTTTTGCTCATCAAAACAGGGGGGACCTTTGGCCCCTCTTTGGCTTCAGTAAGCCAGCCTGCATTACTCCTTGTATTTTAGCCTTGTTAGATGAGAGCCTGTTTTGAATATATTTAAAGCAGAATAGCATTTTGTGTTGACGCATGGAATTTAAAGGTTTTATATTTAAAAAGAAGACGGGGCATACACAAATGATTTCTTGAAGCTACGTAAGTTTCCAGCCTTTACAAAGTAGCAGGGCTGATATGTCATTAAAAATAATTAGACAATATCCAAGTTTCTAAATACTTAGAAGGGCTTGAATCATTCTGTTGAATCGTGCTTAGGCTAGTCCTGCAGGAATTTCCTATGTGTTTCTGCAGTTTTCTGCAAATTAAAGTGTGTAAAATGAATCAGAGGACATTCATCATTTTGGCATTTCCATTGTTTGTTCAAATGCCCAGCAACAGGGTACAGAACTCATTTCCCCATCTAATCTTGATGCCAGAATGATGTAAATGATATAAAAAGTTAAAATGTGTCTGTTAAATAAATGTGATCATTCAGTTATGTTTCACTAACTGTCTACCAGCAGCTAAGGCAGAAATGCTTCATAGCCTGTCGCCTTGCCATTTCCTTTGCTGAATCTTTCATTAGGACTTTTACAT